GTTGTTAATTATCCCCTGGGTAACGCAAAAGTTCCTGATGTCTGTCCTGAAATTGCCCTTTGCAACTCTAAACCCGTGTCCTCTTGCTCTACTGTCTTCCAAGATGATTATTTTCACACGCTGTGCAACTGGAAGTTATTACTTGAGGATCATGAAACATCCAAGAGCAACAATATATACTGGGGGATAAAGAATCAAATGGTATTGAAGAAAAGGAAATTAAGATTTGAGCTGCTTAATGTATTGACACCATAGTGATGATGCAAACCCCACTCCCCCCTAAATTAGTGCAACCAACATTTTATCGTTTACAACTACAGTAGAATCTAAAACGAGCAGGTTTTGTTTTTTTATTGCAGAAAAAATACTGTTGCAATTCGAAGGGCTTTTCTCTGTGTGTTAAGCGCAATTAATTCTGAACAGTTTTAGTTAGTCAAGTCCTCTTAATTATTTGGTGTTGGTGATGCACAGAAGTTTACACCTTCCTGGAGTTTGCACTTAACAAGCAGCATAGGAACAGAAAAGCCATTCAGGAAATATATTACAATTGAAACCTAAAATGAATTAGCTGATGCATGTTGAGTAATGAGGTGCTGAATGACTATAATGAGCAGCAACATCCTGATACGTAACCAAAGTTAAGACATTACATAACAGCTGGTAGAATGTCTTGCTGAATTAGCTAATTTCGAGCTGTGTGAAACAAATGCTGAATGAACGCATGATGAGTTGTAATAGACAGATCTGTCTGCTCTAGTGATTTGTATATTGCACATGCAATTAATTTTTTCTCCCGTATTAACCTGTGAACCGTAAGTGCAAGACAGTTCAGACGAATCAGTGAGCAAGATTATTTTTTTTTTAAAAATGCAGTTTAAGAGGTTGTTGCTCATATTTCAATTGAAAATAAAGTAGGGACATTGCAAGTTTATTAGAGGAATTTTAATGGGATTTCATAAAATTAATGATGCTAATCCTTATGTTTGATATAGTGGCTTGGACCCTTTTTCAGGGATGTTTCAAAGCGCTTCACATGATAAACTCTGTATCGTAGTGACTGTGTATTTGTGTGGACGGTGCCAATTTGTGCACAGCCACATCCCACAAATAGTCATGAAGTGAGTGACCAATTTATTTGGGGGACACCGGGAGAAAGTGTAACCCATCCCCTTCAAGTAGCTTAACATCTCGGGAAATTTCATGGGGCGGTGAGAGGGAGGAAGACAAGTTTTTTTATGGCAGATTCTAATCTATGCATTTTTCCCCAAAAAACGTTTTTTGAGGCACGTTTATGATTGTCGTATGAGGACACTGAAGGAATGAATGTAAAAATTCAGGAATGTTGATAGCTATGGAATAATGGGGGAACAATTGAATGTATTCTGCATGGAGTTTATTTTGCGATTGACAAAATGCGAGCTGTTGAAAGGTTTGAAAAGAGTCGGCATAATCTCTGCCTCCAGAGGGTATTGATTCCTTGAAAACTTTCCAGTAACTTTTTTTTCTGGTCTATTCACAGAACTCGAAATGAATAATTATAAAAGAGGTTGTTTATTTTCCAGAGGAAAATTCCAATTCATTAAAGACTCCAATCTTTCTCACACAAGATAGTTTGGCTGCATTTCCCACCTCTAAGTCAGAAAAATGGCAGGACTTTGAACTCATAGTCTAGCCTGACATTCCAGTGCTGCAATAATAATGATAATCATTTCATTTAATATAGCACCTTTCACACTGAGCGGACATCTCAAACTGCTGCACTGGATTTAACGTTAGTGTAGTTTGTAAAGAATCACAGCAGCCAACTTGCAAACAACTATGAAGTGAACGACTAATTTTTTAGTTGAGGAATTGAACAGGACAATGGGAGAAACCTTCTTTTTCTATTCGAATAGTGCTGGATAATTCACATTATGGTTAGGGTGCGGGAAAGCTTGCCAGACGGAAATAGCATAATAACATAAGAAATGCCAGACGAAAAAAGACCACGGTGCATCTAGTTCGCCTTCCATCTTCCTGGCAGTCGCACTCACATATGTCCCAAACTACCTATGTACTATATCCCACAATGTTATTTCCTAAAGGAAAACTTATCTAATCTGTGTTTGAAAGAATCAACACTTCCTGCTTCAACCGTCTCCCCAGGGAGCCTGTTCCACAGGTTCACTCTTCGCTCACTGAAATAGCGTTTGTGTAGATTTGCTCTGAACTTCCCCGCCTTCAATCGCAGGCTGTGTCCTCTGGTTTTACTATTCTGGACAAGTTGAAACAGCCTGTCATGATCTATATTGTCTTGTCCCTTTAGAATCTTAAACACAGCAATCACGTCACCTCTCAATCTTTTCTTTTCTAATGTGAACTTGCCCAAATTACATAGTCGCTCCTCATAGTCCAGTCCTTCCATTCCCTCAATCATTTTGGTTGCCCTTCTCTGTACCTTCTTGATTTCTCCAATATCCTTTTTGTATTGCGGTGACCAGAGCTGTACAGAGCACTCTAAGTATAGTCTCACCAATGATTTATACAATGGCAGGATTACCCCACTATTTTGGCTTGCTGTTGATCTTTTGATATATCCCAATATCTGGTTTGCTTTACTCACTAACACAGAGCATTGTTGAGAGTACTTCAATTTATTGTCAATCAATAAAAATGAGGTCTTTTTCATACATATCATCTTCCTTCCATTCAAATAATGGCGCCTTCCTGGATTTTCTGTCCCCATGTAAAGTACTTTACATTTCTCCACATTGAATTTCATTTGCTCAATTCCCAATATCAATGGCAAGCTGTGCGGTAGTAACTGGTTAGACTCCAGCAGTACCCCTAATGCACACTTTAGGATCCCCAAGCTTTGGCTCTTACCATCCTGCAGCTAATACTTTCCGAATTAGGTAAGCAGGATGCTCCCCTCAAGTGAGAGAATGCGCATTCTGTTCCATTCCAACAATTTATCTCTATGATTTACATGTGTAAGTGAGGTTCATGGAAATCTCAGGTTGGTTTGGATACTCTTAAGTATGGTGATGGGTTTCAGCATGTGTCAGACACTCGGCTGATCAAAAAAAATGGTTATGGTTGGTGCATCAGTGGCCGGGAATTCCAATTGGCATTACATATTGCGTCTGATGATGTGCGAGTAAATCCCATTTAATCCCATTTAATAGTTGATGTCCCATGGCACTACACATTATACCAACCAGAATTTCATCCCACTAGTTTACACATTGTGCATTGAGACTCTATTATTCTCACAGCCCAAAGTTTGGCAGGTGACAAGACCACAGCCCCAAGAGGGTATGGAGAATTAGTTTAGATTCACTAAGTGGTAACACACACAAAAAAAACACCATTGTTCGTGTGGATTTCAGGAAATGAGATTTGACATCTCTAAATTCCCTGCTTGGCATGAAACCGCTTATTATTGAAAACTGCTTTCTGCTTGGATATCCAGTGTGAAAATCAAAGGGGCATGGAATCTGGTGAGGAAATTTATATGTGTAGGAATTTTGAAATAGCTTCTGAATATGTCAATCAACCTCCTTTCTGCACGTAATCTTCATCAATATATATATATATATCACTGTTTAATATAACAAGTTAAATCATGTCCCTGCTTTGTAAATGTAAATGGTACCTTTTTAAAAATTATCAGAGTGGTTTTGATACTCTCAAGCACGGTGATAGGTTTCCACGTGTGTCAGACACCCAGCTAACTGAATAAACAAACATATAAGCAAATGTATAGTTATAGAGTTACTATCTCGAGTATATAGGGGCAAACATCGCAGCTACGTTTGCATTCCCATAAATCTTTCCTGTCCACCTGGAAAACAGTCAGACGGGACTGCGGTTTAACACCTGATCTGAAAGACTCCACCTCTGGCAATGCAGCACCTTCCCCAGGCCTGGGGGGACTTCTGTTACTTGGATGTAAGCCTGGGTCAGTTGGTGGCACTCTCACTTCTAAGTTAAATCGGTGTGGCTTCAAGAGTTTGAACTCTCATAATCCAGTGTGACATTCCCGTGCAGCGCTGCAGTGTCAGATGTACCATTCTTCAGATGAGACATTAAACTGAAGCCCCGTCTGCCTGTTCGAATAGACATTAAAGATCCACTGTTGCCGTTGTTCATCAAGAGAAGGGAGTTTCTCCCTGTGTCCTGGCCATTAACCCTCAAATAAAATTGGCTTGTCACTTCATGCCTGCTTGTAAGGCATTGCCTGCAAAGTACACAGTTGCTACATGTTACGTACAGTATATCTTATGGAGTGCTTCAAGACATCCTTCCAATGTGAAAGGCTCTACATCAAATGTAAGGCTTATTTATGTGTGTACCATGTGTATGAAGGGAATTACAGGTACTCTTAGTTATGCAATTCACACCGAGGTTAGGTTGTGAATTACATAAATAATAAATACTTTTCATCATTTAACTATATAATCAGACACCTTTCTACACATGCCATTTACACAAGGTGCATAAACGAATCCAGTATGCCTCCTTTACATAATTGAACTTCTGACTTGAGTGCCTGTCAATGAACACACTGACCGTTCATGGCGGTTTGTAATATTTATGTTGGAAGTTGTTTCAGAGGCGAGCATGATACCAGCTGAGCCAGGCTGACACTATTGTGTAGTCCTGTAGTTTAGTGGGTAGAACACTCACCTCGCAAGTGAGAGGACCGACGTTCCATTCCCAGTCCTCTCACTTAGGCAGGTTTCCTTACTCCACACGCCTCAATTTACCTAGCAGGAAATAGGAACCTGGTTGTTAGTCGATTGGCGGATTGTTAATCCCCTAAAAAGAATTAAAAATAGTAATAATTTGGTAACTCAATTCACGACTGTTTGTGGGACGCTACCGCGTTTCGTCCACAAAGTATACAGTTAATTCACTTTACAGTATATTCTGAGAAGCACTTTGAGATGTCGAGATTATTATTGATATTATTATTATTTATGGAATAAACTTTTCTATTCAAATGTTTCCCACAGGGTGATTCAGTACAACCGGGGGATGAATGTCTATTTTCTGACTCTTCCACCTTGGAGCAGAAGACCAGCAACATCGGGGGCAGCAGTGGGTGCATCAGTCTATGGATGCAATGGATGTTACCCAAAATAACAGTCAAACTGTTCGCACATGAAGCCATCAAGAAGGGCGCAGGTGAGGAAGAGATTTCTGTGTCCATGAATGAGTGAACTATCCCTTTCTCTCTCATAAGAAATTATTACTTTTTTTGGGCCACAAAATACAAAGTCAATTCACTTTACAGCATATTCTGTGAAGTGCTTTGAGACATTTTGAAGATGTGATGAGGCAAGGATCAAATGCAAGGATTATTATTATTAATACTATTATTACTACGTTTAACCGTTGGATGATTTGAATTCCCCGACAGATGTCAGGTGTTTAAATAGTGAGCCATGTTGCCAGTGTTTGTAAAGGTGAAGTATATTCTTGATGATTTTTTGGGGGATGGAAACTTTGGTTTAAAAAAAGCAAAATTTGTCATTTTAATCCCAACCNTTTTTGTTAAATCCCTGGTAGTGGAAACTCTCATTTAAAAGGAGCATTTGTTCAGAACACAGCTGCATTTCTGCAGTTGGCTCAATACAAGCCATTGAATATAAGCCATACTCCCGTAAATCCCCCTGGTACACCAGCCATCTCCATTCCCTCAAGACACAAGTGCGAGCTGCCGAATGTGCCTGGACCAATTCCAAACTAATGGTCCATCGGCAGATCTGGCTTCACCACACCAAGATCTACCGCTACGCTCTTGCCTCCACCAAATCCTCCTTCTACTCCAAGGTTATTTTGGAGGCAAATGACAACCCCGGCTTCTCTTTTCCACCACAAACCGTCTCCTCCGTCCACCTTCCCATACCTCGCTCATCCTCTCCTCAAACTCCAACTGTGAGGAGATGCTGGATTTCCTCGAAACCAAAATCAAGAGGATACGTTCAGCCACTTTTGCCTCATCCACAGCCACCCCCACATCACCTCTCCCTCATGACCCACCCCCACCCCTCCCCCCTATACTCCTTCGACCCTATCTCTCCCTCCTCCCTCTCCGCGATTATTTGCAAACGCAAACCCACCACCTGCTCCCTCGATCCCATCCCCACCTCTCTCCTTATCTCCCAGTTCCAGCTTCTGGCCCCTCTCCTGTATGATGTCATCAACCTCTCCTTGTCAACTGGTTCAGTTCCAACCCCCCTAAAAACAGCCGTCATCACCCCCATCTTGAAGAAACCTTCATGGATCCATCCCTACTCTCCAGCTACCGCCCCATCTCTAACCTCCCATTCCTCTCCAAGGTCCTGGAATGAGTCATCGAGTCCCAGCTCCGCTCTTTTCTCTCTCGCTATTCCCTCTTTGAACCCCTCCAATCCGGCTTCCGCACTGCCCACAGCACGGAAACAGCCCTGGTCAAAGTCACTGATGACATTATGAACATCTGTGATCAGGGCTCCCTCTGCCTCCTTGTCCTCCTTGACCTCTCTGCCGCCTTCGACACTGTCGACCACTCCATCCTCATACACCGCCTCTCCGCTTTACTCAATCTTCGCGGACCTGCCCTTGCCTGGATCGAATCCTATCTCTCTAACGTGTCCACTTTGTTGCCTCCAATGGTTTCTCCTCCAGCCCCGCACTGTCACGTCTGGCATCCCCCAGGGCTCTGTCCTTGGCCCTCTCCTCTTTAATATCTACATGCTCCCCCTTGGTGACATCATCCGCAGACATGGGGTCAACTTCCATATGTATGCGGATGATACCCAACTCTATCCTTCTGCCTCCACCCTCAACTCCAGGACCACTGCTGTCCTGACAGACTGCCTGTCGGACATCAAGTCCTGGATGAGGGCAAACTTCCTACAGTTGAATGTGAACAAGACTGAGGCCCTCCTGATTGGCTACCGCCAGCGCCTCTGCACCTCAGGCTCTGGCAGCATCAACCTCCACGGTTGCACACTTCAACTCACCAGCCAGTCAGGAACCTAGGTGTCTTTTTCGACCCTCAACTGTCTTTTCTTCCCCATATCCAAGCCATGACCCGCTTTGCCTTCCCTACCTCCATAACATCGCCCGACTCCGCCACTACCTCACCCCTCAGGCCGCTGAAACTCTTGTTCATGCCTTCATCACCTCCAGGCTCAACTATGCAAACGCGCTGCTTGTCGGCCTTCCCAACTCCTCCCTCCACAGGCTGCAGATAATCCAGAACTCTGCAGCCCATGTCCTCTTCTGCACCAAACTCCGTGACCCCATCTTGCCCATTCTCGCCTGACTCCATTGGCTCCCTATCCTTCAGAGGATCCAGTTCAAGATCCTAGTCCTCACCTACAAAGCCCTCCATGGCCTCGCCCCACTCTACCTCTGTGACCTCCTAACCCTCTACCAACTGGCCTGCTCCCTCCACTCAGCCGGCTCCGGTCTGCTCCACATCACCCGACGCACCCGCCCCACCATTGGCAGGTGAGCCTTCAGCCACTCTACCCCAAACCTGTGGAACTCCATCCCCCAATCACTCCGCCTCGCCTCCTCCTTAGCCTCCTTCAAGTCCTGTCTCAAAACCCTCCTCTTCGACCACGCCATTGATCACCACCCCTTCCCCTCCCCTCTCCCCCCTGACCCCAGCTCGGGTCTGAAATGCTGTACACTGTCCAGCGCCTTGGGACGTCCTCCGATGTGAAAGGTGCTATACAAATGTAACCTTGTTGTTGTTGAATAGAGAGATCGCTTACTTTGTGGGACATTACCTGGATGAAGCTTGTTACTGTACTCGAATGTTTGTCTGTAAAGGAAGCGTTTAAATTGATATTTTTATTAGGTGATTTGTCAGTGTGGGTGAGAAAGGAAAATATCAACTTATACAATGCAATCTACATTTACTTTCATGTCCAGAGGATGTCCCAAAGAGCATTCCCATTGCTACATAGGCACCTGAGCTGGGGGTGGGAGCCGAGGGTGGGAGAAAGGCAACATAATAATAATAATAATAATAATAATAAATGACTGAAAGTGCTATCAAAGAGGTACACTTTGAGATATCCCTTGAAAGAGGGGAGGGTGGGAGGGAGCGAAATTGAACCATAACCCCAGTGAGCAGAAAGCTTTGTACCAAATCTGCCTGTCTTATTTGATAAATGAAATGACAGACATATAAAAAGAATATACCAACTACAAGATGGCAGTTCTTCTGAATTGTTAAATTTCAAAATACTTTTATTAACAGTAATAATGCTTGGTTTTGATGTAGCTCTTTTCATGTTGGGAGGAAATCTCAAAACGCTTCGCAGGATGTACTGTGGATAGATATTTATTAGGGCAGGGTATTAAGGATTTGAGGTGCAGATCAGCCATGATCTTATACAATGGTGGAACAGGCGCGAGGGTCTAACAGCCTACTAATGTTTCTACGTTTCTATGTTTATTGAAAGTGTCGTGACAAATTACCTACAAAACACAGAGTCACTGCACATTACAGTAAATCCTGGGCAGCACCTTGAGAGGTGCACCCGAGGTGAAAGGCCGTATCTGAAATGCAAGGATTATTATAAATAATTATTATTATTATCCTCACCCAGAGGCACTTAGGCTAGTTGTAGCTGAGACTGAGATCAGGGAACTCAGCACAGACTGTAAATCTGTGACCTTCTATTATGTTTAGCTTAATGGTGCATTTGCAATGCCGTACAGAGGTACATCTCTCTGTGCGAGTAAGCAAAATTCAAGGAACATTCAGAAGAAAGGCCGCTGTTTGAAGTGCTTTCACTTTCATTTATAAATGTCACTAACATATTCACGCTTGCACATGTGAACCCAAGATGTGGGATGGGTTTGAGAAATAATGTTAACATGAACTTAAGACTCTCATTTTTGCACAACAAGAATTATAAAAATTCTATTCATAAGAACATCAAAACATTATTCCTTGTATATAGAAATCAAGATTTGAATTATTAATATGAGGGGGAAGTAATTGGGGTCCCCTTGGCGCTGAGCTGGTTCCAAAGTGATGTGCTTGGCAACAAAATGTCCCGATCGAGTCAATCCTCTGTGGCAGTCTTGGTAATTCAGGACCTGAGTCTGGCAGGTGCGCAGCATACAGGCGACTGCTGATGGCAGCCCAGCCAGCCTGGCTCACCGGCAGGACATGGAAGGGCAGACCAGTCACTTGGGGGTGAGCTCAGCTTCTGTTATCGCCAAAGTCCAAACAGTTGAATGGTCCAAGCAGCGGGAAACTTGCCAGACAGAGTTCGCAATGGCAAGCTATGCTGTTTTAACTGATTAAACTCCAACAGTACCGCAAAGCACACTCTGGGGTCCACAAGCCTTGGCTCTTGCCAACCTGTGCCTAATACTCAGTGTGGTTTGAATACTCTTGAACATGGTGATGGGCTTTGACATGTGTCCAACACACGACTGACCCAAAGATGTGTAACAATGAGGAAAAGCTTCTCACTTCTTCAATCCTTCCCCGATATATATATATATATTTTAAAAATCCAGAAAGACAGACTATTAAAGAAGCTGTGCAATAGATTAGCAGGATAAGAATTGGCACCCTTGATCTTACCACATGGTAAGTGCCTCTTTCCAGCCATGCGTTTGGAAGGAGATGTGGGGTAAAGGCTAGGGACTCCCATGTGGTGAGCGAGGGAGAATAAGCCACCGAGATTTCCACGGCTGCATTTGCACAGCTCAACAGCTGCTCCACAGCACTATTGGCAGAGATGTGGTAGCAGATTACCTTCCAACCTTCCTGTCCAGGGAGTGATACATTTGTAGATTGAATTCTTTTTAACGGGGAGGGGGAAGAGAGGAGAGGAGCAGAGGAGAAATGTACTGAGTACAAATGGATTATGGAAGAGGCTGAGAAGTCTCTAAGGAAATGGGGTGCGTGTTATTTGAGACTAGAGATTTCAGATTCCCTCGACTGTTGAGAATTGTCTTTGAGACCTGTAAACCAGGGAGTCTCCGAATGATTAATAAAAACTTTTCACGCACACACTTTTCCTTGTAAATCCTTGTGGAGTCCTGTAGCTCAGTGGTTAGAGCACTCGCCTCACAAGCTGGGTTCGATTCCCGACAGGGTGAAACCTCGGGCAAGTTTCCTTACTCCACACACCTGATAATAATCCCTCAAGAAAAAAAAACAATAATAATTTGGTCACTTCAATCCACGACTGTTTGTGGGACACTGCTGTGCGCAATTGCCTGCCGCGTTTCTCCCACAAATATACAGTCAATTCACTACAGTATATTCTGTGAAGCACTTTGAGACGTCTTGAAGACGTGAAAAGCACAATATCAAATGGTAAACAAGGTCTTGTTTGTAAGCTGCAGCCAGGGACGCGTTAACATGCAGATGTATTTAGGTGCGGTCTTCCTTCTGATTCAGATGAATGTTAAAACTACCCTCACCGTTATTTCAAAGGATTGTGGAATTTTCTCCCAGTTCTTCTGGCTTATATTCCCTCCTTGTACAAATTACCCCACCCCTGCTTCCCAATTGAAATGATTTGACTACGTGTTTGTCGATGTGCTGTTGCTGATGTAGATTTGAAGCTGCATTTTGGCTTTTAAACAGCATTTGCCTCTTTTCCAATCCATCTCACTCCATGAAGGGTTTGGAGGTGCTCCTTTTACATGAAAGGTGCTCTGTGAATTGAAATTGTCTAGCGAGCTATTTTTCTTACGCTCTCAATTGCAGTTTTGCAACAGAGCTGCTTTCAGGAAAGAAAGTCAGGCAACAAAATCCCCTCGCAATTTTTATTTTAACAAAGACCATCCTTTGGTTAGTTGGCAGCAATAATATAAAAATAATAATCGTTGGATTTGATATAGCACCTTATCTCGTTTTCAAGACGTTTCAAAACGCTTCACAGAATATACTGTAAAGTGAATTGACCGTATATTTTGTGGGCGAAATGCAGCAGCCAATTGGAATAATGAGCTGTGTTTGCACTCAAATGAGTTGTGGAGTTTCACAACATGCTACATAACAATCCAGTTATCCTTAATACCCTAGATAAATGCACACGCCACTCAGTATCCCCTAATGAACCACACCTTGTTTTGACAAGTAACACCTAATCTCAAGGCTGGATCTGTATTTAATGTTTCTGTAGCTTAATAACTGTTATGGTTTCAGATATCTGCATCCTTGGTGAATTGGAAGATCTGAGTGCCTCAGTGGATATCCAAGATGTTTACACAAAACTCAAGTGCAAAGTTGGGAGTTTCAATATCGATCACTACAAGTACAGGTAAAGAAAGGACGGCTTATCAAGAATGATAGATTTTACACCGAGAATCAATGGTGGAAATTGTTATGAGCTGCTGTTTGGGCACTGGAATCGGTTTCTTTCACGGCACCGTGGTTGCAGTTTCAAATTGCAGTGGAGCCCAGGTTTAACATGCAGCCATACATGTGTTGTGTTTGGCCGAGATTATCAACAGCTGTATGTATGGCAGGGAGTCCCAGTGGTGATCAACTGAGAACCTCAGCTCAATAGCCTGAGGGACAGCAATCCTGGTGCCCACGTCAGTGTAACAGGTTGTGCAGATTTTCTGCTGCTTTAATACATCTGTGGTTCTTTGGAGAAACCAGATAGCCCACCACCATGTCAGAGCCAGCAATGCTGTTGTGGTGTGAAAATGATCGAGTGCTTCTCAGCTCTGTATCAGGGGGCTACAGTATTTCATTAAGAGTTCTTCAGGCAGGAGAGTATGGTAAAAATATTATATAGTTGAGCTTTCATAAGTCCCATCACCATTTCAACTTGGAAGTTACAATGCAATACAAATTAACATTTATACCACACCTTTCGCATCGGGAGAATGTCCCAAGGTGCTTAACAGTACTGGTTTGGCACTCGAACCTGGGGTAGGAGACGAGGGGAAAAATGACACAAACAGTAGTTGAAGAGAGAGGTCTTGAGATGTACCTTGACTTGAACAAGGTAAGGGAGGGATGAAAGGAAGGAAAATCAAATGGCGTATTATAGAGAAAGTTGCTTAGTTTTGTTCACTTTACATGCCCCTTTCATTATTATTTTGCAATTCCTGTTTCATCATTTTCCAGGAGAGTCCTGGATAGGATACCTAAACCATAACTCTGTGAATCAGAGGACTGAATTGTACTAGCTTTCCATTTAGTTCCCCAAGCGCTTTAAGAACTATAAGTGTTATTGACATCTTTGGGAATTTCCACACTGAATTCACCCTGGCTCATCCCAAAATGTAATCACAGTTTACAACCAGATGAGTGAGAGTTGAGACTTTCTGGGCAGCTCTGATACACAACAGTTCAACTGCTGTGGCTGGGATGGGTGTCCTTAGATCAGATGATAAATCGAGGTCCAATATTCAGACGCACATTCAAGATCCTATGACTCAGTCAAAAAGAGAAGGGAGTTTCTCCCTACGTCCAGATGGTGATTCTTGTTTGCTGCTTAAATCATTTTGGGGGAAACGTAAATTGTCATCAAATGACCCGCTTTGCAAAGTAAACTGCAACTATTTTGCTTTTGAATAATTGCTACTTATACCGATTTTAAATGCAATTGCAACTGAAATGATTTAAGATCCAAGGGAAAATGTCATGTTTGTTGTATTTTGCTTTGGCGAAATAAGCATTTGCCATGATATCTAAAGCAACCAGTATAGGAAATGTTAGTGTAATTAGTGTTGTTGTATGTTATTTCACTTAGTAAAATAATATTTTTAGTTTAATTACATCAGTACCATCCATTTTGGGGAGGGGGGAAGTAGCTTGTTATGTTAATCAGCCTGGCTCATCTGCAGGACTTGGAGGGGCAGATCAGTCACTGTGAGCAGTGATTTGTCTCACTCAGCTCCTGTTAATCCTGCAAGCCAAAGCTATAATGGATTGAGTGGTCCTCACCGGACAAGGAGTGGGAAGATTGCCAGATAGTGCTTTCAGGCGCAAACTATGTGGTTTTAGCTGGTTCGATTCCACCACGACCCCAACCAACACCCTGGGGTTTCCAAGCCTTGGCTCTTGGCATCCTGCACTAAATACTCACCAGTATTAAGTTAGCAGAATGTGTCTCCTCAGGGAGAGAGTGAGCACTCTATTCCAGACACAGGCACATTCCATGTGTTGTTGGCAAGCATGTAACTCAGCCTGGTTTGGATACTTTTGAACGATCAATCGATGGGTTTCCACATCTGTCAGACAGCTAACTAGCTGACCAAAACTCATACGTTATTATCAGATATTGGCAACAATTATTCCAAAATGTATTCTGAAAAGCAGTTATTTCATTCCGACTACAGAGAAGTAATTCCAGTGTAGTGTGTATTTGTATTCAGGGTGGTCCAAACTTTTGGCTGCTGAGGGCCGGATGCCCTATTTGAGAAACATCCGCGGGCCGCATAAGCAATATGTTTGTGCTTGCCTTCCGGAAAAATAGCATAACATTTACGGATTATGGAGGGAGCGATGGGGCAGATAAAATTGAGGGGTGTGGTGGGGGGGCAGCTGAAATTGGCCCGGAGGCTGCCAGTTGGACCACCCTGGATAAGTCAATAAAATGGCAAGATTGTATAGAATAGCCAAGGCGGGCATTGTGTTTTCCAGGCCAGGTGAAGGCTGGCAGACAGGACAGTTTGATGGACTCCTTCTGCAATGCAAAGAAAAACCTGGGGTGAGATTATCATAGTGAATAAGCCACTTCAGATTTCTTCATCCTTCAAAGCTGATTCTCAAAATCCTTGCAAATTCTCAGACAGAACGAAGAAAATGATGGTTACAGACGCTCAAGTTTATCACCGCAGTTTTGCGATTAGATTTCACTTTTTGCTGCAAAGAACACACTTTGTTTTTTAATGAACACAACATTGGGCATTACATTGTTTCTTTATTCACTTTGTTGATGTCAGCATCAATTGAAGCGGCTTTCAATTTACAGTACCGTGGGTGAACCATGCATTTGAACACACAGTCACTGATCAGTAATTCCTGTGAATCTCTTTGAGACGTCTTGATGAAATAAGACACGACATCAAATGCAAGGGTTATTTTTTATTTTAGTCAGTCAATGGGTATTTGAATCTAGTCTATTAATTTCAGTTTAAGTGCAATATATAACTGTGAACACAGTACTGATAAGTGGATAAAATACTGAATCAGGCTCAGATCTCCTTTGGCCAAAAGACCCAACTTCACAGAAGCAACGTAACATCTCATTGACTGAAACAATGCAGAACATCCCAAATCAATCAGAATCTTCAAGCCAGAACATCTGACACTGTGTTACATTAACTGTAGGCTCAAAATACGCAACTCTCCGTAAGACTTCCAATTTAAAAATGAATCAAGTGCAACATTAAAGTATATCGCGGAAAGATTTAAGTCACGGATAGTGCAAATCCGAGGGTGAGACCAATAATTGCTGACTGCAACTTTTATTTACAAGATGGTGGGAAACATCCAACATTTTTAAGCCATTCTTTTCATTTGAAATGCGGCAAAGTGTTTAATTTGTAAAATTCTAGGGGTGGAAATAGCGACTTTCCGGAGTTGTATTTCATTAAAGCTTAGTACTTGTAGCCATCGTTTCTCCTTTCTGTGGTGGTGCTTACTGCTTATATTCCAAATCAGATTGAGTTTTGTTTTATTTTCTACTTCCTTAATTGAACTTAATTGTGTCCGATGGAGCAACTGGAAACCTGTCGGACTCTTTTCACATTTTGGCTGAGGTTATGTGTTCCGTATTGGATTGGAGCAAATCATTTACAAACTGGGGAGGGAGGGAGGGAGGGAGGGCAGGCGATTGCAAAGTCGAGATCCAAACTGTTGTTTCAGTTGTATTTTTCCAAGCAAATGAGACACGTGGTTGAAATTTCGCTGGGCGTTTTTTTTGCTATTGCTTGTGTAAACTTCGCTGAATGGGAATTGTAATATTGGCAAAGGGTTTCGGAAACTTTTTTTCTCAAACTCGAGCACTGAACTCCGCAGCTTATTGTGCGCGAGAGTTGTGTTTCGCGATGACAGCAGTTGCTGCTTGTTGCTTGGTCTGTTGGAACACATAACATAAGCTCCCTCGGATTACTGCACCTTCTTGCAGCTGCTTTCAGCCGTTACTGCTTTCAATATGATCAACAAATCCTTTTAATTTTTTTTTGCTTATGGCCTTTATTTTATTGCTTTTGTTTTCTCCCACTCTCTGTTTTATTCCTCCTATCCATCACCTCAAGCCTCGGGGAGGGCCCATGGTCTCTGGGGCATTTTGGAGGTGTCGTCCTCTCTTGTACTGACAAGCTGAACAGACGCACATTGTTGGTTCGACCCGTCAGCAAGCAAGATCCTTTCAGTCATTTCTCTGGCTTCTTTCCTCCTGTAAGAAATTAGTTTGATTATTATTACTGATTTGAATTTTTTTTTAAAAAACATACATTTATATCACTTTTTGTTTGTGTGCATTTACTGCATAGACATATGAAATATGTCTCGAAGACAATCAATCAATCAATCAATCAATCAATCAATCAATCAATCAATCAATCAATCAATCAATGTCATTTTACTTCCTTGAGTAGAGCAACCTTTATATGTAAACCATTGTAAAATGCTTTTTAATGTTTTAAAGCGGGTGGATGGGGGGAGAAGGAAGATGGGGAGGGGGGAAAAGTTTGAGGAGAAAGGGCTAGGAGTGGAGCAGGAAAAGAAGGGGATAAGATAGGAAGAGGCGAAAAGGAGAGGGGATAATGGAGAGAGTGGCCAAAAGCATCTAATTATGACAAAAATGGAAGTCATATCTGTCACTCAACAGAGTTACTTAAATCTGTCACAGATTAGAAGATGGCTAAGCATCTTTAACCCTAGCCCCTAGCAGCAGGGTACCACTGTTGTATTTTGCTAAAATAAGGACCCAAGCGAGTTTAAGGTGTGCTCAGCCAGCGTTGCATTAATCATGGAGCAGTTATATACGTGGAATGGGATATTCCCAGACTTATCGTAAAGCACGCACCAACAGGTGTAGAAGTCATTTGGAAACGAGGGACCTTTGGCCCTTTCGGCAGCCCCTGAAATATAGTACCAAACCAAGTAAAATGGCCACTTTTGTTTTGACTCCAAATAATGCTGTTGGCATTGGTTTTTGATCTAACATTAGAGCCACCTGGCGCTACTCAAGGAAGTAATAACGATTTGCTTCTTCGGGACTCTGAAAAAAGGTGCTTTCATTTTTATATGTAATGCAGATGCTTCCGCTTGCTGCTTTTTTTTTAATCTGCTCCCCCCCCCTCAAAAATCTTAAAACCTGACATGCCATTAATCAGTATGCTTTCCTGTTGTGTGTTGTTTTTGGTTTTAATTTGATGTGAAGCGTCGGTGAATTTGCCGTCAATCGATGATGTGTTTTCTTTGTGACCATCCAGACGGCAGCCAAGCTCCTCGAGGGTTCCCACCAGCAGCACGGGTTCCTCTCTCTCACGTACACCAAAGCGGTCACACGGAACGTCAGGCACAAGCTGACCTCGAGGTCGGAGCGGGTCTCCCGCAGTTTGCACAGGCTGGCGGAGGGGGCGGTGGACAGCTCTCCCCAGCACCTGCACGAGATCCTGCTCAGCGCGCAGCCGTTCGACGTGGTGCTGTCTTTCCCGTTGCTTTACACAGCGGCCAGTATATTCCAGGCAAAGCTGCCCAAGAAGCCAAAGGCAAAGAGGAAGTCAACCGGCCAGCCCATGAGGGCACATAGCCTGACGTCACGAGACCTGCCACTGATCTACCTCAACAGCAGCGTCATCCGAGTCTTTTTTCCCAGAGGAGAGGAGGACACACGGCAACAGGGAGGTAATATCACAGAATTTTTTTCTCTCTCTTTACCCAGAGGGTAATTACCGGCTGGAGCAGGTGGGCCTGGAAAGAATGTAGAGGCCAGCCCGCTGGATTCATTTTAAAAAGCAGCTGATTCTGCGGCGGTTTCTGGGTTGGTTCTTTGGAAGGATGAGATCAAATGGGCCGAAAGGTCTTCTTCATCCAAACTTATCTTGTGATCGTAGAAATTTACACTGCAGAACGAAGCCATTCGGCCCATCGATTCTACACAGCCTCTCAAGAGGGGCAAGATGTCCATTAAATCCCACTGTTTCATGTTATCCTCATACCCTTTCACACATCCAACTTTTTGCCTCTTGAAACCTACTGTGTGTGTGGACTCTGCCTCTACCACTATCTTCAACACTAAATAAATGTAGAAGACCTAATGTTCATTATCATTCAACCCATTTTAGTCCCAATTTTAAACCATTTTAATCTAAATTGAATGAGCCATTTGTGTGATTGTTTAATTCTGCAATCTGATTGGAATTTACTTTTAAAGGCAAAAAGCAGTTGCTTTTTAGTATAAATATAGTATAAATGCCATATTTTTAAATGGAAGCTAGATAGACACATGAGGGAGCAGGGAATAAAAGGTTATTTGAGGGGGTAAGGAGTGGATTGAGACTCATGTGGAATATAAACACCAGGACAGGCTACTTGTGGCAAATGACCTGTTTTCCTGCTGTACAGTCGTGTGTAAATCTATGAAAAATCTATGAACCTGAGTTCAATTCCAGTCAGGGCGAAACCTTGGGCAAGTTTCCTTACTCCACACAGAGCCTAATAATAATCCCTCCAAAACCAAAAACAATAATAAATTGGTCATTTTCAATCTACGACTGTTTGTGGGACATTGCTGTGCGCAATTGGCTGCCGCGTTCGCCCACAAATATACAGTCAATTCACTTTACAGTGTGTTCTGTGAAGCGCTTTGGGACGTCCTACCGACGTGAAAAACGCTATATCAAATGCAAGGATTATTAAAACACGTGCAGTTATTCATCTGTTCAATTTCTGTCCCTATTGCCCATGGGTGGGGGTAGAGGGGGGATTGGATTCCACAGCACTTGAGAGATTTGGGCAATATTGCAATTTTACAAAAACAAATTGTTTTGTGTGAAGGGAATTGCTGTCGATGATCCATGAGAGATAAGGACACAATAAGGCGGATTCCTTGTATTACTCAGCTCGTATGGTATCTTTGTGCTGAATCACTTCACACTATCAAGACTATTTGGCAAAATATAGAAACACTTAGGCCAGAATGAAGCTCCCGATGAATGGGGTCAGAACAAACTGAGCAGCATAGTATTTCTTTGTCAGCTATGTTCATAGAAACAATGGATGTTTTCAAGAATGCAGCCAGGATTTTATATCTCTGTTCTCTGTTTTTTATTTTGGGGCAAAGTGGTAGTTCGTAATGACAGTGGAATAAAACGTCTGAGAAAACAAATTTTATTTCCATTGCAATGTAAAATTCAGGCCAATGTTTGTCAGCCTCAGTTGGAAACATTCTCGCCTCTTAAGTCAGAAGGTTCTGGGTTCAAGCCCCATGTCAGGACTTGAACTTACATTGTCTAACCTGACACTCCAATGCAGTGTTGGGGGTGTGTTGCATTGTCGAGGTGCTATCCCTTGGATGAGACATTAAACCAAGGCCTGTCTGCCTGTTCAGGTGGACGTTAGAGATTCCATGACACAACTTGAAAAGTGAAGGGAATTTCTCCCGGTGTCCTGGCCGACATTCCCCCAGATAAAATTGACCAATATACCATAGGAATTCTGTAAACCAGTTGCACAGGTGGACATTCAAATGATATTATTTGAGTGAATGATCCTGCAACAATTTATAAAGATACTTGAACCCTGAGATTTATTCAGCTGCCCTTATAACACACCAACTATCATTGCCAGCCATCTTCCTTAGAAGAGATCCCGTAGCACAACCCAAAAGAGAAGGGAGCTTCTCCTGCCCACCAATTACCCCTCAAAAATAAACTTGATCATTCACTTCATGGCCATTGGTGGGACATTGCTGTGTGCAATTGGGCTGCTGCATTTGCTTCAGTAAATCCTATGAAGGGCTTTGGGACGTCCTCCTGACGTGAGTGATGCTGTATCAAATGTAAGTATTATTATTATGTATTATTATAGCCTCTAACCTCTGAAACACCCTCCCTCCACCCTCTGTCTCGCCCCCCTCCCCCCCGATCTTTTAGTCCTGTCTTAAAACCTACTTTTTTGATCACGACTATGACCTCTTTCTTCCCCCCCCCTCCCACCCAAACTTGGTGACCGATCCCATCTTGTAAAATGATAACTTACCTAAAGTTAATAAAGAAATAATAAAATATTAAAAAAAGTGAATTAAAAATGTTATAATAATACCATTACTATCTTACAAAAAGGGCGCTAAGTAAATGCCAGTTGTTGCTGTGGTTCTCACATGATGTTTGCTTCTGCGAAGACATCTCATTTTCTATGTTTCCTCAATTTCAACACAGGAGGGCCACAGACTGAAGAAGATACTCTCGTACTTAAAATTGGCTCTGTCTGCATGGCTCCACAGGCTGACAACCCACTCAGCAGAACAGTCCTGAGGAAGGACATTTACCAGTAAGTTAACCCGATATTTTACACCACTTGAAAGTTTTCCGGACAGTCTGAATCATCCACCTTATCTAGATGCAGCAAACTAAAGTACTTTTATTTAGTTGTAAAAATAAATGCATTTGTTTCCACAGTGTAAGTTCATTGGGTCATAAAACAATGCAAATTAGTTATTGAGAAGCTTCTTTGTTGCATTTGACTTTGCAGACCAGGGCACTGCTTTTGCTTTATCCCGTCTCAATTTCCTTAAATTATCCCTTTTACCATCCACTGTCTGCCATTTCACTGTAGAGGACAAGTTAATTGAGTCTACAAACATTTTTATCCGTCCCACCATCGGTGAGCAGGCAAGCTTTCAGCCATTCTGCCCCCTTTGTCTGAAACTCCATCCCTCCGACTCGCCCCTCCATCCCTACTTGCAAAGACGTAACCCTTTGATCCCCTCAACACCATCTTCACCCTCCCTCCCTTAGGGAACCCAGCTTGTTCTGAGCGTCCTTCCTAAGTGAAAGGAGCTGTATGAATGTCAATTGTACTTTTGCATCCTGTGCTGTTTTGTACTGCTCTCTGGTTAACCTGCTGTCAGAGTGACATACAAAGGGTTTACTTGGGGCAAATTTTAATACCCAGCTTCATACAGAGATGACCCAGATCAGATTAGTGACCGCCCCCCACCCCCCCCCCCCCAAACTCCCTCTCCAGGAGTGGAGCAATGCTAGTTGTGACTTATATTTCTTTGTCAGGGATAAAACACGGAGGCATTGGGAGCTATCAGCAACTTACCAGTCCCCGCTTTTCATGTTTACACTAAAGAATCCCAGTTGTAAAAAGATTTGATCGACAGAGTGTTCCTAAAGTCGGATATAAAACCGAGTGCAAGCGTAGGCATGCATCTTAAGATGGTACAGGTATTTAACATAAGCACTTTAAGATGTTTCATGTTTATTTGTTTAAATTTGAAATTCTTTCAAAGTTCAGCACATATATACACAGTCCGTTTGTTTAAAGCTGGTCTCAGATCTGAACGCCTGGTAAAATAAACAACTGAAATAAAGCATAAATCAGTGTAATTCTGTAGAAAGCTACAAGCAATGAAAATATACACGAGGACAATAAATGGATGGCTGTTGTGTCACCATTAACTTTGCTTTGTGAACAGTCAAAGGAATTAGCAATTGTGTGTGGAAATTACATTTGCCACTGTCGTGGTGGTTGTACTTGGGAGGTTTGTTTCACAAAGAGAGATGGCATTCCATTAATTCAATTGAGGCAGATACGTGATGCAAGCCTGTGAATGAAATCTGTGAAAAAATAGAGACCTTCTGAAGTAAAGTTTTAGAATAAACATATTTTTTTGTAAACATTCCCTGATTTGTCTTGTGTTGCATTTCAAAACCGCACTAATCATATGTGGATGGCAAAGCAGGCAGATGGTGGTAATATTTAAGATAAAAGTAATTCTTAATCCTCTGTAGAGCTGGCCCGAGTACAGAAGGGAAACAAGATAGATTTAGATGCTATTAAGTTGGGAAAGCAAACTGACAGATTTGAGCTTCAACAAGTGTCTCAAGTATCTATTTATTGTATGGGTCAGATGGTACCAATATGTTAGATGTGAATGTTTCCCACAGGTAACTTAGTATTGCCGAGAGAATATCTGCAAAAACCACTTTAAAGGTTTTATAGAATTGTTGCTTTTTTATGTTAAGTTGTAATGATTCCGTGCTGCAAGATGCATTTGAAATATTAGACCTATAAATATACAGGATTATGTTCTCATTAGCATAACTAAGAAACGTATATGAGTTACCTCAGGGTTTTAGCGGAGCCTGCACAACATCAGCCCTAATAGGGCAAAGTCCTGTTTTAACAGAACAAACTTCTGCTTGTCTAAATGGAACGTTCTCTGTAACGTTAAAATATCGTGGCTATCATCAAACGAATATCAAATTCTGCTTCAAATGGCATAGTTGAAATCAGGATCTCATGCTTTGAAAGAGGCCCCGGAATACTGTTAAATGGTGCTTTTTGCCCTAAGAGGCATGTGAAGATTCTTGCGATGTAGCAATGTTACAAGATGAAGAACCAATCAACCCATTTGATCCCATTCTCCATGAACACCCCCCACCCCGCATCCTCCCATTGTAGCGTCCAGCTTTTTTTTCATTAAATGCCACATCCTAAAGGTGATCAAAAACTGAAAACGAGCAAGTTAGCAGTTTGATGGCGACCTTTCTTACATGCTATGCAACCATTCCTAGTAGTTTTGTATTCCTTACCTTCAATGTATCCTAAGTAGCAGAGTTCCTCCTGTCTGGGAAAGCTTGGACAAAATGCACTTCAAGGTAAATTTTGGCAATTATTCAGACTCCTCCTGAGGAGTCCATTTTGTTTGCCTATCAAATACTGAATTAAAAATGTGATTAAATACTTCCAAGATACATCAGAGATATCAGTTTGGCTCATTCTGTGGTACTCTTGCCTCTGGGTCAGAAGGTTGTACGTCCAAGGCCAACATTGGGACCGCTGATAAAATTGGTCATTCACTTCATTGCTATGCATAAGTTGGCTGCCATGTTCGCCTACAAATGCACAGTCACTACATGTTACAATAAATTGTAAATTGCTTTGAAACATCCTTGACTTTATTGGCAAGATTTCAAACACAAGAATTCTCTTCTTCTCCTTGTTGACAAACTGCTATATTGGTGTTCTGCTCAAAGGTAAACCTGAAACACTTAATGTCAAGTGCGAAGAGGTCCTGGACGTCTTCGACTCAAAAATTGAAAATATCCGCTTGGTTGCATCGTCCTCCTCCCTCCATGTCCTCTTCCACTCCACCCAGACCATTGACAACGCCTTCTCCCTCCGCCATCGCTCCTGCCATTCCCCCCTCCTTACACTCCTTTGCCCCCATTTATCTCTCCTCTCTCTCAACCACAATCACCCGGACGAAGTTCACCACCTCCTGCCTCGATCCCCTCCCCACCCAGCACCTGCTCATTCAACTCCCCCTTCTCTCTCCCTTGCTGGCCGACACGGTCAACCAATCCTCCTCCACCGCCTCTCCTCCCTCATCCATGTTAGTGGGACTGCATTGGCATGGTTCAAGTCCTACTGGAGTCCTGTAGCTCAGTGGTTAGAGCACTCGCTTTGCGAGCGAGAGACCTGAGTTCAATTCCAGGCAGAGGGCGAAACCTTGGGCAAGTTTCCTTACTCCACACAGAGCCTAATAATAATCCCTCCAAAACCAAAAACAATAATAAATTGGTCATTTTCAATCTACGACTGTTTGTGGGACATTGCTGTGCGCAATTGGCTGCCGCGTTCGCCCACAAATATAGTCAATTCACTTTACAGTGAGTTCTGTGAAGCGCTTTGGGACGTCCTCCCGACATGAAAAGTGCTATATCAAATGCAAGGATTATTATTATTATTATTACTTAACCAATCGCCTCCATTTCATCTCTGCAAATGGTTTCTCCTCCCGCCCCCACCTGGTCACCTGCGGGGTACCACAGGCCTCCATCCTTGGCCCTCTACTTTTCCTTATCTATATGCTCCCTCTGGACGATGTCAGCCCCAGACACAGGGTAAACTTCAACATGTATGCGGATGACACACAAATCTGCTTTGCCTCCTCCAGTACCACCTCCAGCTCCGCCGATGTTCTATCAGCTTGTCTGGCAGACATCAGGGCCTGGGATGAGTACAAACTTCCTGCAGCTAAATATGGACAAGATGAAATATGGACAATTTTTGAGTCGAAGATGTCTAGGACATTAAGTGTTTCAAGTTTACCTTTGAGCAGAACACCTTGGCTCCCGTCAACATCTTCACTACTGTGGATCTAAACTCCTCAACCACCCTGGGCTCTCCCTCAGACTCACCGAACAGTGAACGTCAAGGGTCCAGTTTAACCCCCAGCTATCCCTCCTCCCCGCATCCGGTCCCAGACCAGGACCCCCTTCGACCTCCACCACACTACCTGCCTCCGACCGTACCTTACCCCAAATGCAGCTGAAACCCTCATGCATGCGTTTGTCACCTCCCGCTTGGAATATTCCAACGCACTCCTCGCCGGTCTCCCCAGCTCCACCATTCACAAGATCCAGCTCATTCAGAACTCTGCCACCCATATGTTGACCCGGACCAAACTCCGTACCCACATCTCACCAGTTCTGGCCCAGGCTCCACTGGCTCCCCATCACCGAATGGATCGACTTCAAGATCCTCACACCCGTGTTCAAATCCATTCACTCTCTGGCACCTTCCCACCTCTCCAACCTCCTCACTCTGCAATCCACCACCTGGTGCCTCTACTTCATTGGCACCGGCCTCCTGCTCGTCACTCGCACCCTCCACCCCACCGTCAGAGGTCACGCTTTCAGCCACTACGCCCCAAAACTCTGGAACACTCTACCTCAATCCCTCCACCTTGTCCCCTCTCTCCCCTTTTTCAAGTTCCGCCTGAAAACCTTCCACTTTGACGGAGCTTACTGCCATTCCCCCATCACCGCCCCGGCTCGGAGTCAGGCTCCGCCACTGTTAAGCGCTCTGCGTGGAGGGCTCTACATAAGGGCAAGTTGTTGTTGTTGTTGAAACCTGTAGACTGTGTTGTACCCTCTAAATTAAGAGGGTTTTTGTATAAGGAGTATAGGGACAGACTTTTTGTCCTGGTTACTGAGTTAGAAACAGGGAGGAGGTGCATTTAAAATCATCACAAAAAATAACACAAAGAGGCAGTTAGCAGACTTTTCCTTAACAGAATTCGGACATGGAATGATCTGCCAGAAACAGTGCTTGAAACTGGATGTGTATACCTTTTAAAAGGGAATCGGTAAAATGCTCGAGAAAGAAACAAGTGACAGGATATGGGGAGAGGGCAGGTGAACGGGGCTAGAAATTCATTCAGAGAGCCAGCATACCTGTCCGAATGGCCTCCTGTGTTATAAAATTCTGAGAGTCCAATTGCCAATGCCCTCATTCAACTGGTTCTCTCTCCA